TTAAGTATTAAGTATTCTATGCATTATTATTAACCATAGTCACCATGTTGTACAACAGATCACTGGAACTTACTTGTCCTAACTGAAACTTTGTACCCTTTTACTTAATATTTATACTAACCAAATAAAGTAATACCTGAGAAAAAGTCATTGAAATCTCTGTAGTAGTACAGTCATGCATCACTTAGTGATAGGGGGACAAGTACTCAGAAATGCTTCGTAAGGTGATTTTGTTGTGTGAGCATCGTAGAGTGTACTTACACAAGCCTAGATGGTATAGCCTGTTACACACCTAGGCTATATAGTGTAGCCTGTTGGTTCTCGGCTAAAAACCTGTGCAGCATGTTACTGTACTGAATTTCTTAGGCAATTGTAATACAATGGTAAGTATTTGTGTATTTAAACGTAGAAAAAGTACAGTAAAAATACAGTATTATAGTCTTCTGGGACCATTGTCATATATGCCATCCGTTGTTGACTGAAATATGGTTATGCAGCACGTGACTGTGTATGTTAATGTGTCCTAGCTCTCTTTTAGTGACCACTTACTAAGTCCATGTGTTCTCAGATGGAAAACGATTGACACCTGGGCCTGCCATGTGGCATCACCCTGACACAGGTTCTCACCGGGTCGATTGAGTCTGCTGATACAACCTAAAACTTGCTTGTTAGATTTTGAAGCACTCATCCTGAGTTTCCATGCAGGGGAATGTCTAGCTGTCAAGAGGGGATCTTGGTGTTTTGTGTTCCACTCTGGGACTCAGCTGTCAGCATTTCTACCCTTAATCTCCATCATCAGCAGGCTTTGGAAGACAGCTTATCTGCCTCATGTTCGATGATGGAAGACATAATCTGAGTTCTTCTTTTTAAATGCAGAATATCTTCCTCACTCAAAATGGAAAAGTGAAATTGGGAGACTTTGGATCTGCCCGTCTTCTCTCCAAGTATGTGTGTCTGTTCTACGGTAGTGACAGTAATCAAAACATCCATTTTCAGGAATGTTCTGTAATCATTCTTTGCCTTTTTTTGGTTTTAGTCAGATGGCATTTGCTTGTACCTATGTGGGAACACCTTATTATGTGCCTCCAGAAATTTGGGAAAACCTGCCTTATAACAATAAAAGGTGAGTGCTGCATATTTGATGTAAGGATGCCCATTTGGTGACAGGCATTTTAGCCTGCAGATGATGCAAGAGTCCGATGTCACTTCAAAACAGATGCATGGATCATATTGGTTTTTAAAAAATATATCTGAAAGCAGTCTGGAATCTATATTTCTAATCTATGTTGCTAGGCTGCTAGATAAAAGTAATAGTTTTCCAATTGCTATTAATTATAGCTGAGAGGAGCAAATGCTGAAAGAAAGGCCAGTCATTCTAGGGACGGTATGAATTATATCAGTGGTTCCCAAACTTTGCTGCTCCCACTTATAAAAATCCCAAATCCCAGGTTGCATCTACGCTAATTAAATCATAATGGCAAAGGGTGAGAAGCAGGCACCAGTAATTTTTCAAGATCATTGGGTGATTCCAATGTACAGCAACATTTGATAATCAATAGATTGTGTCATTGAGTTGGCATTTACAGGGCTAGATTGTAAGCACTTGGTTGATAGGTAAATTGATTGAAGGAGGTTAGTATGAAGGTCTTAATGATTTAAAATGCAGTATTTTTTTCTGAATATAAGTTATATGTGCCTATTGTGGGGATGGACGTGCAGGGAAGATTGGAAATAGACCTGTAAGAAAGGACATGGAAATCACCCACTCTTCCCAACTGCCAGTAATATTTTAATGTTTTTTTCTTCATTCACTTTTCCCCCTAAAAGTATATATATATATTTTATATATATATATAAAGTATATTTTATATATAATTTGCTTTTGTCATTTTATATTATAGTCATTTCCCCACATACTTAAACTCTTCATAAATTTTCTAATGGCTGCATATATTTTACTATATGGCACTTCCAAAATTTACTTAGTAATTCCTCTGTTGTTGGCCTTATATTTCTAGATTTCAGTCTCATAAACAGTGCTGTAATTAACATACCTTTTGTATATAAATTTATCCTTGTTTTATATCACATTCTTGGCATGGATTCCTAGAAGGAGAAACAACACTGTTGTTACTTTATGCTGACTTGCTTTCTGAAAAGCAAATATACTAAATAGGTTTCTTAAAGAGTAGAATGGACTGAATGGGGGCGAAACAGTTCTACAGGGACTTGTTGGGACAATTGAGGAAATTTGGGTATGCAGTAAATATTAAATAATGTTACTGAATTGAGATTAAATTCCTTGGATGTGATAACAGTATTGTGTTTATGAGGGAAAGTGTACGTCTTTGTTCTTAGGAAATACATGCTGATGTGTGTAGGGATGAAGTGTTTGATACCTGCAACCTTTTTTTTTTTTTTTCTTTGAGATGGAGTCTCACTCTGTTGCCCAGGCTTGAGTGCAATGACACAATCTTGGCTCACTGCACTCCGCCTCATGGGTTCAAGCGATTCTCCTGCCTCAGCTTCCTGAGTAGCTGGGACTACAGGCACCTGCCGCTACACCCGGCTAATTTTTATATTTTTTAGTAGAGGCGGGGTTTCACCATATTGGCCAGGCTGGTCTCGAACTGCTGACCTTCTGATCTGCCCTCCTCGGCCTCCCAAAGTGCTAGGATTACAGGTGTGAACCACCACGCCCGGCCTGCAACCTTTTTTCGAGAGATTCAGATAGATATAGAGGAGGGAGATTAGCACCCAAACATGGCCAATGAAAATGATTGGGGAACCTACGTAAGGGCATGTGGACATTTGCGACTTTTCTGTAGATTTGAAATTAAAATAGAAAACTAAAAGGGGAAATAGTTGGTAAAAACCATTAATTAAAGTAAAAAAATACCATTTAGAAAAGTCTAGAGGAGCTGGGCCTGGTGGTGCGTGCTTATAGTCCCAACTACCTGGGAGGCTGAGGCAGGAGGATTGTTTGAGCCCAGGAGTTCAAGGCAGCAGTACAGTGACATCATGCCTGTGAATAACCACTGCACTCCAGCCTGGGCAACACAGTGAGACCCCATCCCTTAAAAAAAAGAAAACGGTGGCCGGGCGCAGTGGCTCATGCCTGTAATCCCAGCACTTTGGGAGGCTGAGGCCAGCAGATCACGAGGTCAGGAGATCGAGACCATCGTGGCTAACATGGTGAAACCCCGTCTCTACTAAAAAGAATACAGAAAAAAAAAAAAATTAGCCAGGCGTGGTTGCAGGCACCTGTAGTCCCAGCTACTTGGGAGACTGAGGCAGGAGAGTGGCGTGAACCCGAGAGGCAGAACTTGCAGTGAACCGAGATTGCACCGCTGCACTCCAGCCAGGGCGACAGAGCAAGACTCCGTCTCAAAAAAAAAAAAAGGAAAGGAAGAATCCTATCCCTTAGAGCCATCCAGCAGACTGTGTGGAAAGTAGAGAGCTGCCCAGCAGGAGATGTGATCAAAGGCTGGGTGCTGTGTCCAGGGTGGTGGGAATAGAAGCCTCACTGGATGCCTTCCAGAGTCCTTCTCCAGCTGTGATCAGCTGAGTCTGTAAATATTCCCTCTTGCTACTGAATTCCCAAATGCTACTGAAGTGATATTTTAACCACCCTGATTTGAAGGGGTGGGGATTGAAGAGCAGAGAGTTTTATTGTGAACATTACTCTTAGGAAGTATCTAGGTGTTAGACCAAAATTATATGTTTTAATACCTGGGAATTACTTGTGATATCTGTTCTTATTAAAGGTAAGAAATTATTTTTTGTTCTAGAAAATACATAACCCACTTGTGATTACATTGCTTCTTTATGCTTTCAGTGACATCTGGTCCTTGGGATGCATTCTGTATGAACTCTGTACCCTTAGGCATCCAGTAAGTATGGCATGCAAAATGGAAAAGGCAGCTTGTCATATCTAGCTGAGTCCTAATAATGTGACAGATTCTAGTTGGCAGTTTGCTTCCCTAGGATGAAGTCATTATAAAAGTTTGTATATGTTTCCAGTGCAGTCATCTGCCCTGAGTTAGTTTTGTAGCATATACTAATAGGAAATTTCCATTATTTAGTTTTGCTGTGCAATACATAACCTTTCTCTCTCTCTTTTTCTTTCTCTTTTCCTCTTTTCTTTCTTTTTGCTATTCTTAATTTTTTATTTTGATAAATATAAAACTTGCCATTTTATCCATTTGTAAGTATACATTTCATTGTCATTAATTACATTCACAATATTGTGCAACCATCACTACTATCTCTTTGGGGGTTTTGTTTTGTTTTGTTTTGTTTTAGAGACGGAGTCTTGCCCTGTTACCTAGTCTGGAGTGAAGTGGCGCGATCTCAGCTCACTGCAGCCTCCACCTCCTGGGTTCAAGTGATTCTCCTGCCTCAGCCTCCCAAGTGGCTGGGAGTACAGGTGGATACCACCATGCCCAGCTAATTGTGTGTGTGTGTTTTTACTAGAGACATTTTTGTATTTTTTTGTATTTTCCCCATGTTGACCAGGCTGGTCTCAAACTTCTGACCTCAGGTGATCCACTCGCCTCAGCCTCCCAAAGTGCTGGGATTACAGGTGTGAGCCACTACGCCCAGCCACTACTATCTCTTTGTAAAACTTTTGTCATTACCCCAACCAGAAACTCTACCCATTAAACAGTTACTCCCCATTTCTTCCCTTTCCCCAGCCCCCCAGTCTAATTTCTGCCTCATGAATTTGCATATTCTAGATATTTCATACAACTGGAATTATACAACATTTGCCTTTTTGTGTCTGGTTTATTTCACTAGCACAGTGTTTTCAAGGTTTATTCATATTGTAACATCTATCAGGATTCCATTCCTTTTTATGGCTGAATAGTATTCCATTGAGTGTATAGACATGTTTATCCATTCATCTGTTGAGGGACACTTGAGTTGTTTCTGTCTTTTGGCTGTTGTAAATAATGCTGTTATGAACAATGGTGTACAGGTATCTGTTAGAGTCCCTGATTCCAAATTTTGAGGTCTGTATCTAGCAGTGGAACTGCCAGCTCATATGGGAATTGTATTTAGCTTTTTGAGGAAGCACCAAACTTTGCAAGAGTGGCTGCAGCATTTTTTTCCTCACAGCTTTTTGCAGTTAGATTTCACTTATCATATGAGTTTCCTCTCTAACTGACATATCATGAAAACATAGACTTTGCCCTATTGTATGTTTTTTCAAGATATTTTTAAAAATATGAACCAAAAAAAGGTTAAATAACTTGTCCTGCTTGTTCAGCCATAGTTTATTACATAGAACAACAACTGCAGGGCTAATTCCTATTAGTTCTTAGCTTTGCATAGAAATAAATTCTGTTCTTTGGGCACAGATTGAAAGTTGACTTTTTTGCAGATGTACTTGAGGGCACATAGAGCTCAGAAGAGGGTGAATGGTTGAGAAACAATCGTTATCACTACCAGATGAAAGTAACTCAAACTGAAGACACCTGGTATTAATGAGAGGTTATCTTTGAATATAAGTGGTTTATAATGATAGCTACACAGTTAGAACAACTTGCGGAACCTTTAAAATGCTGATGCCTAGGCCCACAGCACAGTGATTGAAATAAAATCTCTGAAAATGTTCTGGGCATTACTGTTTTTAAAACAGGTGATTACAATGTACAGCCCAAGTTGAGAGCCACCATAGTCTACGAATAAAATTATTTTTAAAATTCCAACATCTTTTAATTCTTTACTTCCTGATTGTATCTTTTTTCATAACTTACATGTACACATTCTTCTTTTTTCTAGCAAGAATGAGTATTAAGGACTATAGTGCCCAGAATATTTGGCACGAGATCTGTCATCCCTTGTCTGCTTGAAGACAAAAGTTGTTCTCAAACCTTTGGGAAATGCAGATAGTGTAATGGTTAAAAAGCCGGAGGCAAAGCAGATTCAGCAGTAGTTGTCATTATCAGCATTTGTACTTTGTTACGTGTTGATTTCTCTTTTTCATATATTCACTTGCATTTTTTATTCACAGGACAATATACTTTTTTGAAAATAAACTTCTTTTAAATTTTAAAACAGTTTTAGATTTACAGAAAAATTACAAAGATAGTACAAAAAACTTCCATATATGCCAAACTGTAATTAACATCTAATATAGCCTTGAGGTGTAGAAACATTTCTTAAGCAAGATTCAACAAGCAGAAACTATTAAGGAAAAATGATGAATAAATTTGACTATACTAAATTTTAAAGATACCATAAATAAAAACATACAGATCAGCAGAAAACATTTTCAAATGTAACTAGCAGCAAATTAATAAAATATCTTTTTTTAAATTTTTATTTTAAGTTCTGGGGTACATGTTCAGAGTATGCAACTTTATTACATAGGTAAACGTGTGCCATGGGTGATTTGCTGCACCTATCAACCCATCATGTAGGTATTAGGGCAATACACTTTCAAGGTAGAATGCTAACACATTCTTTCATAAGCATTTCCAAGGCTGACATCTCATGTTAGTTCTGATGTATTTATTATACATTGAAAACTTTAAAAATTTTACTCCAGTCTGTCGTCGTATATCCCACAGTGTTACTCGTCAAATTTTAATAGCTGCTTTAATGACGGGAATGGTTAAAAAGGATTTTGCAGTAGAAGTTTAAAATTGGAAAAGTCTGGCCAGGTGCTGTGACTCATGCGTGTAATCTCAGCACTTTGGGAAGCCAAAGTGGGAGGATCGTTTGAGCCCAGGAGTTCAAGACCAGCCTGGACAACATAGCAAGACCCTGCCTCTAAAAAAAAAAAAAAAAATTTAAAAATTAGCTGGGCATGGTGGCATATGCCTGTAGTCCTAGCTATTTGGAAGGCTGAGGTGGGAGGAGCACTTGAGCCCGGGAGGTCAAGGATGCAGTGAGCTGTGATTGCACCGTTGCACTCAAGCCAAAAAACCACCTGTAGAAAACCAGCAAAGTCTGAAGTGCGTGTTGCTATGGAGCAGGCCTGGCAGTTTCTGGGGAGGGGCAGAGCAAAGGGATATTACACTTATTATAAACCTTTTAGTATCATTTGATGTTTTAAAAAGCCATATGTATATATTACTTTGATTTTCAATATATACTTATAATGTATATCTGCAAAATCATTAGGACTAATAAGGTAGACAAAGCAGGTATTGATGGAAATACTTTTTCTAGATGGCAAAGGTTTTTACCATTCACGCTTGACTTTCTCCTAAACCACCTTAAGATTATATAATGGTATCTTAACGGCACCTCTAGACAGAAAAATGACCAGATAGCAGATATGTTTATAAAATTAAAATAGTCTACATAACTGGTAGTTTCTTACTTCCATTTCTTCCCCTGTATCTGCTTGTAAAGTTCAATTTTTCTTTTCAGTTTCAGGCAAATAGTTGGAAAAATCTTATCCTCAAAGTGTGTCAAGGGTCCATCAGTCCTCTGCCATCTCATTACTCCTACGAACTTCAGTTCCTAGTCAAGCAGATGTTTAAAAGGAATCCCTCACATCGCCCCTCGGCTACAACGCTTCTCTCTCAAGGCATCATAGCTCGGCTTGTCCACAAGTGCCTATCCCCCGAGGTATGATCTGTGTTGGATTGGCTGTGAACAGTTTTCAAGTGTATGGTAAAATGGTTTGTTATCTTTTAACATTACATGTTACATGTGCTCATCAAAATCCAAATGGTACAGAAGTATATTAAAAATAAAAAATTAAAACCTCCTTTCCTTCCTCTTTTCCCCCCAACAATGCTATTGCCCAAGTATAATCACAGTTTGTATATCCTTCCAGACCTTTTTTAGACATATATAAATGTCTGCATTTGTCTATCTAAATTATATGTACTTTTTTTTTTTGAGATGGAGTCTCGCCCTGTCGCCCAGGCTGGAGTGCAGTGGCGTGATCTTAGCTCACTGCAACGTCCACCACCCTGGTTCAAGCAATTCCCCTGCCTCAGCCTCCCAAGTAGCTGGGATTACAGGCACACACCACCATGTCCGGCTAATTTTTTTGTATTAGTAGAGACAGGGTTTCACCATGTTAGCCAGATTGGTCTCGAACTCCTGACCTCAAGCAATCTGCCCGCCTCGGCTTCCCAAAGTGCTGGGATTACAGGTGTGAGCCACCATGCCCGGCGTATATGTACTTTTTTAAGTGGCACTTTTGTTTTTCAACTTGAAATATTATTGTGCTGAAAATGCTGATGATGAAATGATATCACAGCAGTATCTATAGAAAAATATGTTTTCACATCTTTAAATTCTCAACTTTAAATTTCAGATCATCATGGAATATGGTGAGGAGGTATTAGAAGAAATAAAAAATTTGAAGCATAATACACCAAGAAAAAAAAGTAAGAATTTTGGACAGAGTATATTTTGTGAAGTGCTCTTTTAAAAATATACTATAACAGAAAAGAAATACATAATTTTTAGGTTATTAGAGATGATTATCAGAGATACTCCTCAAATGAACATTTTCTTTTTGTTATTTTAGATGTAATTCTGTACTGAGTACTGTCCTTTTTGATCCCTGAAACAATTGGGGTTTTAAAAAGCCTAGTTTTGGATATTTTAATGAC